CCGTCGCGCATTGTGACGTGGGAATCCCCGTCGTGCGCACATCGTCGTATTGTTGGGGTCCCTCTATGAAGCCTCGTGCAATTGGAGTCCCCGACATACGCGCATCGTCGCGCCGTTGGAAGCCCTCTCGCACCGCTCACCGTCGCGCTGCTGGAGCCCGTCGTGCCGCTCAACGTCGCGCCGCGTGCAGTCCAGATCCGGGGGGCCTCCGCAGCGGAATAGCAGATGCGCCAGCATGCCCAAGTGACAGATGGGCCAATCTACGGTGCAGCCGAACTCGCGGATGGGCTGGCACACCCAAGGTACACTTGTCCCGATGCCCGTCTCCTGGCGCGCTCCAACCGCGGATCTGGAAGCCGCGCCGCTGCCGGCCCGTCCCGCCGCTGACGCCCACTCATCAGCGCACCGCGAGACGTCGCTGGCACGGACGTGAACAAATTGCCCCCCCCTCCCCGGCGCGCGCCGCGATGACATGCCGCCGCGCACCGTGTGATGATGGTCGAGCTGCGAGTCGGAGCGGGAAGTGTCTGCCGTGTCCTCGTGCAGGGTTTCTGCGACGCGGATTTGACCATCGCAGAGACCCCCGAGGTCTCGATGCCCGGCGGCGGCTCCATCGCGAAGCTGCCCGGAGCGAAGCACGCAAGGGCGGCGCCCCCGAGCGTGGCGCTGGTGTGCGAGCTGGCACCGCATGACTTGTCCGCGCGCCGCCTCATCCCATCAACGCTGGGCAAACACGCGGCGCAACTATCGTGTCGCGTTGCTGCGGATTGGCCGACGCAGCCAAACAATACATATCATGAGATTTTTGAAGCTACTGGTCTGGCGTTGGTTCTGGGGCCAACGCTGGAGTCGGGGAGGGGGTCGGCCTTGGCGCGAGCGTCGGCAGGGGTGAGTCGGAGGTCGGTGGAAGCGGAGCCGAAGCCAGAGCCATTGCCCTGAATGTGCTCCCTTGAACAACAGCTGTGGTGGTCATGGTAGTGGTGTCTGTGGTTGTGGCCTCAGTGGCGGTGGTAGCTGGGTTGGCGGTGAGGTTGCAACTGAAGATATCTCGCTGGGGGGCAATATTTGCCCGCCGCTGCTCGTCCTCATAGGCGCGTGGCCCTGGCGGTGCGTCGGAGCTCGCGTCGGGCGGCGCGCCGGCGTCTGCGTCGGCCCCGACCGCTGGGGGCCAGCGTCCCCACCCGATTGCAGGAAATTTGTCATGTCAACGCATCCTCGTGCACAATGACGATTCTAAGCGGACTCCTGCGTCCGCGCAAGCTGCGGGGACCTCTGGCAGGGGAAGCGTCGCCACATTCTCGGTGCACTGTGTCGATGCATTCCAAAGCGTAAAAAAAATATCCCGGCAAAGCAACCTAACAGCGATGTGTAGGAGCATATCTGGAAGCATTCCCATTAAGATTCAGATGATAATCCAGTTGTAGAATTCTGCTGTTCTCGCAGTCGTAGAGGCATTCGCGATGACAGTCGCAGTGGCCTGCATCAGCCTCAGCCTCAGCCTGCCTCAGCATCAGCCTCAGCCTCAGCCTCAGCCTCAGCCTGCCTCAGCCTCAGCCTCAGCCTGCTTCAGCCTCAGCCTCAGTCTGCCTGCAGCCTCGGCCTCAGCCTCAGCCTCAGCCTCAGCCTCAGCCTCAGCCTGCAGCCTGCCTCAGCCTCAGCCTGCCTCAGCCTCAGCCTCAAGCAGCCAGCCTGCCTCAGCCTCATCAGCCTCAGCCTCAGCCTCAGCCTGCCTCAGCCTCAGCCTGCCTCAGCCTCAGCCTCAGCCTGCCTCAGCCTCAGCCTCAGCCTGCTTCAGCCTCAGCCTCAGTCTGCCTTCAGCCTCGGCCTCAGCCTCAGCCTGCCTCAGCCTCAGCCTGCATGAGCCTCAGCCTCAGCCTCAGCCTGCCTCAGCATCAGCCTGCCTCAGCCTCAGCCTCAGCCTGCCTCAGCCTCAGCCTCAGCCTGCTTCAGCCTCAGCCTCAGTCTGCCTTCAGCCTCGGCCTCAGCCTCAGGCCTGCCTCAGCCTCAGCCTGCATCAGCCTCAGCCTCAGCCTCAGCCTGCCTCAGCATCAGCCTGCCTCAGCCTCAGCCTGCCTGCCTGCCTCAGCCTCAGCCTGCTTCAGCCTCAGCCTCAGTCTGCCTTCAGCCTCGGCCTCAGCCTCAGCCTGCCTCAGCCTCAGCCTGCATCAGCCTCAGCCTCAGCCTCAGCCTGCCTCAGCATCAGCCTGCCTCAGCCTCAGCCTCAGCCTGCCTCAGCCTCAGCCTCAGCCTCAGCCTGCTTCAGCCTCAGCCTCAGTCTGCCTTCAGCCTCGGCCTCAGCCTCAGCCTGCCTCAGCCTCAGCCTGCATCAGCCTCAGCCTCAGCCTCAGCCTGCCTCAGCCTGCCTCAGCCTGCAGCCTCAGCCTGCCTCAGCCTGCAGCCTCAGCCTCAGCCTTTCAGCCTCAGCCTCAGTCTGCCTTCAGCTCGGCCTCAGCCTCAGCCTGCCTCAGCCTCAGCCTGCATCAGCCTCAGCCTCAGCCTCAGCCTGCCTCAGCCTCAGCCTGCCTCAGCCTCAGCCTGCCTCAGCCTCAGCCTGCAGCCTCAGCCTTCAGCCTCAGCCTCAGCCTGCTCAGCCTCAGCCTCAGCCTCAGGCCTCAGCCTCAGCCTGCCTCAGCCTCAGCCTGCCTCAGCCTCAGCATCAGCCTGCCTCAGCATTCAAAATGTGACCCGGGAATGGAATTCTGGGAACTCGAAGAACACGAAGTGGCCTACAGCTGGCTCCGGGCATTCAAAATCATGCCCAGGAATGGAATTCTGGGAACTCGAAGACCACGAAGTGGCCTAGAGTTGGCTCCGGGCATTCAAAATCATGCCCAGGAATGGAATTCTGGGAACTCGAAGACCACGAAGTGGCCTAGAGTTGGCTCCGGGCATTTAAAATCATGTCAGGAATTGAGTTCTGGGAGCTCGAAGACCACGAAATGGCCTACAGTTGGCTCCGGGCATTCAAAATGTGGCCCGGGAATGGAGTTCTGGGACCTCGAAGACCACGAAGTGTGTAACTGTTTGTTTAAAACGACTTCCGCGGTTTCTCCCCGGATCCTGCCCGGACCCCCCTGGGGAGTCAAGATGCTCTCTTTTGACCCCACTAGAAACCTATCAGTCTTCGCTGTTAGTTAACAACCCATGGCCAAAATCGCGGATAGGCCGGCATACCGAAAACATCATGAAATAACCCCTGTTGCTTGAAAGGGGTCTGCTCTGGGTCGGCTGTGGTCCGAGTTTGTCGCGTGGGCGATTACAGCAGGTATGTTGTGACTCGGCTGTGTTTCGAATCTGTTGCGTGGGTCGGCTGCTGTGGGTCTGCTGTGGGTCGGTCGGCCGTGGTTCGCGTCTGTTGCGCGAACCGGTTGTTGTGAGTATGCTG